ATACTGCTTTATTTCAATAAAAGCTTTGCAAAAAACTGACCTCGATTTTGATAAACAATTTTATTCATATTCAGTGCAACATTCATAAAAATTACAGCGTTTCAACAGAGTAATCAGTTTTTAAAGTCAGTTAAGCAGAGTCTAGTCAAAGCAGTCTTACTCCAAAAAAGAATTTTGAATGTTCTTTGTCAAATACTAACGCTTGTTTGTTAACGATACGAACAAGTATGATTTATAGCTGACGATAATACGTAAAAGATTTAAAAAAATGCAAAAAAAAAAATTTTTTTTTGCTGTCCGTCAATCTGAAGAGTTAATCTGTCTGTGCCTCAACTAAAAAATGTTTTCTGTTTAGAAGAAACACAGAAATCAACTACTGAAAATTTGGATTGTCTATGATAAATTATGCTGGAGGACTACCTCACTTTTAGCGTTATTTTATGGAGCATCTTGACGCTATTTACACTTTTTCAAATAAGGTTGGTAAGCAGCAAGAAAAAATGGCTAATGTTTAACCATACATTCGTCAAAAAAAGAAAAAAGAACTGGAAACTTACTTACTTTTTCCTTAAATGACTTTATTTATATAGATATTTGATCACAAGGTGATTTTAATGATGGTAATGTTGATGATTACAAGCAATTTGAAGGAAATTCATAAAAGGTGGACAATTCTTAGACGATATATCAGCCGAAGGAAAAATTGCTGTTGTTACCGGTGCAAATAGTGGAATTGGTAGGCAAATTGCAAAGGAACTGAACCTCAGAGGTGCTAAGGTGTATCTGTTGTGTAGGAACAAACAAAAAGGCATTAATGCAATTGATGAATTAACAAAAGTAATCTATTCAACAGTGTTTACAACATAAGACTAAAAATAATCATTTATAAAAGCAATAAATTTAGTTAACAAAACTTATTTTTAGAAGCCCACTGTGCGCTATGTTAAAAAAATTTTTTTTTAGTTTTATTTAACTATTATGCTGTTTCAAATAACAAATACATTTCTTTTAATTAACGTAACTGACTCTGCAATGAGGCTTTTATAAGCTACTATTTTTAGATTCTTTTTGTTTTTTTTTACTTTTTTGAATATATTTTTAGTTAAAATCTTACTTGTAAAACGTTTAATTTTTCGGTCAATCAAATTTTACAGAAATAACTTGCAGGAGGGATGTGATATCGCTCGACTACTATTAAAACTGGTTGATTTAGCCGATTTTGATACCATTTATAAATTTGCAACCGATATTCAAAGACGTCAGTTGTGTTGCTGATACAGTATTGATATTTCTACTCTTAGCTTAACTTCAACAATCTTTTTGATCTGCCCTTTTTAATAATGCAACTGGTTAAAGTATGCTCAGACAGATATTTTAAAATGTTAAATTTATAGATGTCGATAAAATAGACATATTGGTAAACTGTGCAGCCATAATGTGTCATCCAGGTGGTAAAACTGAAACTGTTAATAAGCATGAAATGACATGGCAGGTTAACTACTTAGGTTCGTTTTTTTTTTCACTTTAATTATTTGATTTAACAATTATTTAGACATTTTTCAACATTTAGTAATTAATATTTTACTTGCAATAACTAAGGATCACCATTGTTGACCGGAATTGCAGAACGAATGCTTCACTTGACAGTGGAAGATTTTTTAGTGAAACAAAGAAGAGTTCAAACTGTTTAACCAAAAAATTTTAATTTAGGACCTTTTATTCTCACTGAATTGTTGTTACCGTTGCTAAAAAAATCATATAATGGACGTGTGATAAATGTATCTTGCGGAGCTCACAGTTTAGCAGAAAAAGCGCAGGAACCACGAATGGTTGCTAATCAGTTACATGCTAAACTGGACCTGTATTGTCAAACTAAACTTGCTCTTGTCAGTCAGCATAATGACATATTTTTAAACAATAGTTCGAATTTGTTAGATTTAATACAAATTTTTATATTTTCTATAAGTCAATATTGCTTTTTTTTGACTTTTAAAATGTATAAAAGTCAGCAAAAGAAAAAAATTTACACGCTCAAATTGCAATTACTAAATTATACCGATAAACGAGTATTAATCAGCACTGCTAAAAAAGTTAATTTCTTTTTGAAAAAAGCAGGTTATGCATGCTCGTGAATTAGCGCGAAGAATTCGAGATGAAGATCCTGCTTGTACCGTTGTAATAAATGTTTGCCATCCTGGTGTTTGCTATACCGGTTTATATAGAAATACACCTCTTGAAATATTACCTGTAAAACTACTGCTTTTACCATTTCTTACATTTCTGCTGAAATCAGACAGGGTAAAATTTGGTGCTTAAATATTGCATTGAAATTATATTTTATTTTTACAGTGCTTAACTTAATAATTTTTAAACACTTTTTTTTGTCAAAAATTTATTTATAGGATGGTGCACAAACTCCGATTTATATGGCTTTATCAAAACATTTAGAGAATGTTTCTGGCAAATATTTTGTGTAGGTTTTCTAAATATTTTTTTTGCTTATTTGTTTTCAAACATTAATAAAATTGTTCTGCAGATAAACCTTGAGCGTTAGAATTTTATTTATTTTTTTATTAATTTGTTCGTCATGTATTAAACTTTAGCAGAAAAATAATTGTAGTGATTGCACCGAGGTTGATCCATCAAGAGAGGCATTAGACGACGTGGCTTGTGAACTACTTTACAAAAACACTTTAAAAGACGTGGGTTTGGCTGACTACGATTTATGTAACGGAAAAGTTGGCTTTTACTGAAGTTTATTTTACACAAGACTTTGCCAAAACTATATCATCTTAGCCATTAACGGCGCTCAGTGCAGTTTTATTCATCGGTAGCAAATGATGTCGACCAGTTGAAACAGAAACGATTTAAATTTTTGTTTCTATGTTTGCTGAGTGACTGGTGTGATTCATCGCTCTAATGATGTGGTATTGGGCAGTGTAATTCTCTGTTATGGTGTAAATAAACTAGGTGAGGTAGAGTTTGAAAGCAGTTAGATAATCTCATCAATTAGCCGAATATGGGTTAATAAGATTTTTTTTAAATTTGATTAAAGAAGTTTCTTGTAATTGGAAACTAAGTCTAAAATAGCTGAAAAAAAAAAGCATATTTCTTCATGGTTTTTTAAAACACAATTTTGGCAAATTAGTATTGGTTTATTACATTAAAAAATTGCAGTACAAAGAAGTTACTTTTAATTAGTTTAAAACTTACATTGTGGTAGAATAAAGAAATTAATGAGAAAACTTGACAAAACTAATGAATCATTGGTGGTAAATTAGAAAAAACATTTTTTCAACAGTACCAAACTACTAGACGGGAAGGTGTACGCAAACAGTTGCATAAGGAACTGATAAGACAGTAAATATGTATTGTAGTTATTTGTATAATAAATCAAATATTGGTAGCATTGGTTAGGAACTGATGCGCTGTCACTAACCTGAAAGTTATAGTCCGTTCAGAGTACTTCAATAGAAAAACATTTTTTAGGATTACTTATAAAAAGCCTAATCTCAAAGACAGCTTTTTTATTTTTTACGATTTTATTCGAAACTGGAACTGTCTGGCTGACTAACGGTAATTTATTTTATTGTTCAGGAACTTTTTTTCTTTTCTTGTTTCTCAAATTACAGTATTGTTTGTATGTTACGGTAATAAATCTTTGTTGCTATTATGGTTTACCAGTTTTATCAACATTCCAACTTCTTCTTGTCTATGCAATAAAACAATATTCAAAAATCTTGAAAACTGCAATTGTAATTTGAGTTCAAAGTGCTTTTGCTAGAAAAACACTTATTTATCAGTTTTGACTTTTGTACTTCTGGATCAAATGGTACAATACCAATCGACGACTTTACAAGGCACAGATGCGGTGATAGGCGGAACTGTCTGAATGACTGACTTCGCTTTCTACGTCACACACAATTCATTTGACTCAAAATATGCTTGATATGTTAGAACTAATACTTTCTGGTAAATTTCTAGCAAAGCTCTTTTTCTTGCCTTCATATATTTTAATCTCTTGAATTTTTCACTGACCTAAATAAGTTTGTAGCTAGTTTTTTACAGCCTACTTAAACAGACAAAGGCATAGCATGCCAAACTTAGTTTGGCGGTGAGGTGACCAACCAGTGGTGTTGTAAAAATTTATAGTCTGGTTACTGAAACAATAAATTTGAAGTTTTATCGAATCAGTAGAATGACGCTTACGTCAAAATGTTTCGTGATTATGTAGACAGAGAGAATAAAATTCAAGTAACAACAAAAAACCAGCAAAAAACCGTGATTGAAGCATTTCAAAAAACATTTTTCAAATAATTTTTTGCTCTACATAGCTCTCAAAAGCCGAGACCTAAAACAGATCTGCAAAACCACACAAATTCCGAATAAAAAACCTTTTTGTTTGTTTGACCAATTATTTTTATAGCTACACTTTGCGGGATTCAGTTGAAGTGTTAGCAGGACATCAACAGTTCCTTATTTTTTCTTAAACAGATATGTGTGATGCTCTACTTTGGGTCATGACAGATCAGATTTTTTATACATGACTATTAAGCTGTTTCAAAAAGAAAAAATAAATGATGAGTAAAATGGAAGAAATTGAATTTTTACAGTCTAACAAAGGTTAAAATCCTATTTTGATTGCAAAAAAATTGGTCATTAGCTGCAACTTTTAGGAAATTAGTTTAATTAACAAACTAAATAGTCGTCTAAAATCAGTAACTGATTCTGAGACTGGAAGTAAAAACAACAATTTATAAAATGCTATTAGATACGAGCAAACTGAAGCTTGGAACGACATAAACGACCAAAACCTGACAAGCAGATCTTTAAAACAGCAAGCATTTGTTATTGCTTTTTTGCGATAAGACGTTTTAGAATTTTACAGCTAGAAAGGGTGAAGTTTAAAGTGGCAGCTTTAATATTTTTTTACGAAAAAATTGCTTATCATGAGCTCGAAATTATAATAAAGAGTATATTATTTGCGTAAATAAAACATACGTAATCCGGCTAAACAGATTCTTCCGCAAGAGTGAGAGCAGTATTGAACAACCGGTCGTCCAAAAATGAATTGAGAGGTAAGCCAGGTAAAATAAGGGAAGACATTAGCAAGAATTAGGCTTCTGTGCTGTTCAACGAATGAACGCTTCTTCCCTGCAGGTCACTGTACGGAAGAGGCAGAGTGAAGAACGAAAGCATTTAACCAGAAGATGCAAAACATTGTCACTTTTACAATTTTGTCGCTGAAAAGAAGCGAAGAAATTAAAAGTCAAACAGAGCGGATAACAATACGACAAATCTCAAGCTAAAATTTTGGAAGATCAACTGCGATGAAATAAAAGTGATTTCAGATTAAATAATTAATCTTGAATTTTCTAAAAGTTTACATAATTGATTAAATTGTACTACAAAAAGCTGAATTTGTGCTATGAATAACAAAAGTTCTAAAACAGTTAACTCGAGTTGCGTCTGACTTGCAAAAAGAAGATATTACAATGGTTCGTCAGCTACAGAAGATGCGCGATTAACTTTCAGAGCAAATTTCTATGATAGCTTGAATAGTTTACATGAACAAGATGTGAACTATTATTTAAATTCTAATAGTAAATTTCTAACAATTTGTCAATGCGCCGACCTGCGGAATGAAATTTTGTTCGACCGTTTACAGTATTATTTCTTCAAATTCTTTCAGAATTGAGTGGCGCCAACCGGTTCTAATGACAATAACTGATTATGTTACGATTGTAATTTAATAAAGAAATAATAAAGTACAAAATTAATAAAGTAAAAAAGTGAATTTCACTTAATTAATTAAGCATTACTAAAAGTTATTTAAGATTTGCAAATTACATGGTTTAGAAGGTTGCTTTAATTACAGTAGAAAGTATATAAAAAACTTCAAATTTTGATGTTTTCTCAAATTTGGTTAATTTTGACAAAGTAATGTGGCTGTGAGATTAGTAGAAGCTTCGATAAATTAATCGGGATTTCTGAGGCTCGAAAGAAAATTCAAATGAATAATAAGATGACAATAACAATAATAGGACAAATTTAGCGACCCAGATACTCAATAAATTCTTGTAGAGATACAATTTCTATCTTTTTGATTAGTTTGGAAAATAATTTTTTCCACAGAGGAGATTTTTCTAACAATCTTTGACTACCAAGCACAATGACACCTTCTTCAGCTCTTGTAAGTGCTACTGTCAACCGATTACGATCAAAGAGGAACCTTTCGGTCTCTTCCGTTAGCCCAGTGTTCGTCTTTGTCGTAAGAAGAAGGACCAGGTCTGTCTCCTTGCCCATATAGGAATCGATCGTATGACACGGGAGTTCGGGTTCTCGCGCTCTCAGATCCCTTAAAGTTGAGTTATAATAACATAATGTCGTTAATCGGCCAGGCAAATGGAACTGCATTTTTTGAGCAATTTTGACTGCTGCTTCGTTTTGTTCATCGTTGGTCCAACTCCGCAAGAGTGTTCTACACTCGGTTCCCGGAACATCAAGAAGTAGTATCGGGGTGTCGTCAAAGGTTTAGAAAATTTTAACTCTTTCCACATTGTCTGGTCTTCTACAGATAAAGATGACTTCAATTCTGAATCATACAATGTTTTAGAAATAATGTCAGTCAGGACTAGATGTGACCGGTACGAATTCTTTAAGTGGATAGAAATGATAGACTTACGGCTCAGCAGATTATTCAGACAACTGGAAAACCCGAATAGGTGTGGCAGTTGCTTCACATCTCCAGTTAAAAATATTCAATCTGCTTCTAGATAACGCAAGATAAGACTTAGGAAATTCAATTCTGTCATTAGGGTAGCTTCATAAATGATTATTTTTGTTACTTTATAGCTCTCCTGTGCCAGCTGTTCTGCGAATTCGGTAACCATTACTGTTTTATCAAAAACTATCTGCGGCTGGTAATGAAGAAGCAATCTTTTAAATGCAAATTTTTTTTCAAAGACTTCTACATTATGTTCTAGTCTTTCTGCTAGATATTCTTCTATGGCTCTCCTTTCTGTTTTTTTCATGGCTTGTTTAAACGGTCCAGTAAATCCCTGAGTAACTCTGGTACTCTACAATCGCACCAGATCTGGTCGCTTACTGTAACTGGTTGCAATTCAGCTGCAACCGGCTGCAAGAATATCACCGTTTCTCTTGGCAGGTCTCTAACCAGTTTGAAAAATGACTTTGCAGCGTTTTGAATAGCATAATTGGTGGTAGCCGTGACTACAATAATATCAGTCTGTCGTTTGATGGTGTGGTACCATTGCCAAATCGCTACAGTTGCCATATGCGTTTTCCCAGTACCAGCTGGCGCTTGTTGGAATATTACAGGGTAGGTTTTGTCTCTTATCGTCTGAAAGACTTGACCCTGTTCTTTACGTAGTTGGATTGTTTTCTTAGAGGAGGCAAGCGTAATATTTATCTCTCCTTTAGGCTTCTCAAAAATTTTTTTTAAAATGATGTGCTTAAGCAATGGGTTCGAATTATTCCAAAATTGTCGACTCAAATAACCATATTTCAGCAGTCTTATAATGGTTTCATGGCTTGTGAAGTCTGTGTCTAAGTAAAATATAAATTCTGTATGGTGGTTATCGACAAAAATGTCAGGGGCTATGCTCTCGATACTACTTAGCTGTTCCTTGGAGAACTGGCATTGGATATCCAGGCTTAAATCGTCATTCAATACCGCTGTTTTGACACTGATTTTAATTTCGCTTCGTTGTCGACGGATGTCGTAAGATGACTGTTCCATTCTAAGTGTGGTTTGAGGAGTCTAGGCCCTCAGTCTTTTAGACAAAGTTTTCATCTCAGGACCACTCATCGGCGATGGTATAGAGATGTTCAGCTTTGCGCAAACAACGAAAAGGATTTTTTGATTCTCAGATGTTATCGATTTCTGCAATTCTCATTGAAATGTTTTCAACAACTACCGCTAGGAGATCCCAAAGCAACCAGGTATAGTTTGTGTTGCGATGTGTCCTGGAAGCTTATGCTTTGCTGCATCCCGGAGAAGATCTAGAAGATGCTACTATCATGATTAATGAAGCTGGCGGTGAAGAGGAGATGGATATTACAGATTTGCCAATTCGCTTACAAGAGTATATCAGAGGGATTAAGGATGCTGCTGATAGGCAATCAAATGATGTGATAAGGTAAAACTTTAATGCATGGATTGCAGCATATTCAACTGGCATAGAGCCTACACTCATTCCTTGAGTGTCGCCACCTCGTAGAGTCACAAGATCAAAGTCCAGAGAACCTCAACCTGCGCAAAAAGAAGCGTCTGTTCTCTCCAGATGACAATTTAAATTTTTTATTAAATTTTGAAATTTCAAATTTTATATTCAATTATCTCAAAATAGTTTAATATATACTGGGAGTCTTTACTGCCTCCACTTCAGTCTACCTTGATATATCGAGGTCAGGTATAGATCAGCATCTATCACTCTTAATGTCGCTCTCATAAGTTACATTTTATCGTTCATCATGTAAAATTTGTATACCTTTTCATTATCTTCCACAGCAAGATAAAATCTCTTCTCTACTATCTCGTCAGCCACCAAATAATTTATTCAAATTAAACTTTAATTTTATTTCGACGTAAGTGGACTTCATCTGTTATTTAAGTAAGCATGTACATGAGTTTTGAAAGAAAATTTTATAGTGAAAGTTTGGACAATGCCTATAAGAAATGCACTCAAAATTAAGCTATTGTAATTGATGAAGTTCAACTTCAAGTTGGGTGAGCAACCTGCATAACGGATTGGCTATCAGAACACATTGGTTTATTCGGCAAGGCTTTTAAAAAGCGAGAATAGTTATTTTATGCTATTATAACGCATTGGTCAAGGATACTGAAAGAAGTTTATAGTGTAAACTGGTATTAGAAGAGGGAATGTGATTTTGTGATCATTACAACCAGTGTCTACTTAAGTGAGTGATTTAGGAATGTGAGTTTTGCGCTCGACCGACGAAAGACAACTATGGCTTTAATGTGGGCTAGGGAAGAAGTACTTGTTAAAAGTGAACAAGAATTTAGACGAATTTTTCAAACCTTCACCGATAGGTTTTTATCCACTAGCAGTTGTTTGATAGAATTTTGTGATGAGTTGAAGTAATACAAAGAACAGCACGCAATAAGGTCGTATTTCGCCAAGTGGCACAGGTAAGATTATTTTCTTTTTTTGCGTAAGGTCTCAGAAAAAGTTAAAAAATCTTTTTTTGCTTTTTGATTTTGTCTTATTTTTATAACAACTGGGACCTCACAAGTAGTAAATTTCAAACTTTTTTTTTGTATGTTTTAAATTTCTCTTCTAAAATCTTATAAATTTTTTCTTCTTTTAAATAAAAGTTTTACAAGAGTTTCTGTTGTTGTGTAATTTTTTCTTTTTCTGTTTTCTGTCTTCGTTTTTTATTTTTTTGTTGTTTATTTTTTCTATCTTCTATTTTCATTTTTAATTTTTATAAAAAATCAAACGCATATATGAAAAGGTCCTAAGCAGGGAATGAATTACGAAGTTTTAGATATATGGCGGAGATCTAAGTGTTAAAATGGTAAAGAAATTTTATACTACGTCTTATCTTATTGATTTGCACATAATATCAATTTATTTTATTTTATTTTCTTTACTGTTTATTCAATTTATTTTTATTTTATTGTTCATAATTATTTTTTTCTTTTCTCGATTAGGTCTTTAACTGACCGTCCCAAAGGTTCACTTCGCGGATGCGTGATCTGTCAGCCTCCTAGGGAGTGTCGCGACTGTACGCGAAACGGCAAAGAACACCAGACTGTAGCAACCGTTCACTCTGAAGAAACGTTTTTTGAGAGGTGGCAGTTAGTCATAACCAAGGTGATAAACTCAAGGCGATAACCATTGCTACCTTCATGGGGGAAACTCTTCGTCAACACAGGAGACAAACGAAAGCTATCAAAGGAGCTTTGGAGCTCCAAAGTTGAGGGTTTCTCTCAATCAAATTTTGACCAACGTCTTTACAATTCTAGTAATTTTTAGCGCCTTTACTTCTTTCTTTAGCCTATGTGGCGTTTAAAGCTCTGTTTCTTCT